GAAAGAAAGAAATAGAAAAAGGGAAAAAGAAAAAGAAAGAAAGAAAATAGAGAAAGAAAAAAGAAATAGAGAAGAAAGAAATAAAGAAAGAAAGAGAAAAAGGGCAATGAAAAAAAGAAAGAAAGAAAGAAAGAAAGAAGGTAAGAAAGAAATAGAAAAAGGGAAAAAGGAAAAGAAAGAAAGAAAATAGAGAAAGAAAAAAGAAATAGAGAAGAAAGAAAGATAGAAAGAAAGAAAGAAAGAAAGAGAAAAAGGGAAATAAAAAGAAAGAAAGAAAGAAAGAAAGAGAAAAAGGGAAATAAAAAGAAAGAAAGAAAGAAAGAAATAGAGAAAGAAAGAAAGAAATAGAAAAAGAGAAAAAGGGAAAAAGAAAAAAAGAAAGAAAGAAAGAAAGAAAAAGAAAATATAGAGGAACCGATAACGCTCGTATGTGTTTAATGCCTGCTTTAGTAAAATGGAAAAAAAATTATCCCTTTGAAATTTCTTCATTTGTGCCCGCTTGCTTCTTGATAAAATGGCCTGCAATTTCCATGGAAAGTGCTCAGATAACTACTTGGTTTCGACAGTTCTAAACTTCATGGCTAGGAACCACTATGCCACTTTCATAGTAGCAAACCTCCCACATTCCTCCGTATTCCATTGGTGAGAAATAAGTTCCACTCAAACAGCTTCTTCCAGCAAACTACTACCCTGTGGTACAGACTCACAAGAGGATGTTTCCCCAATCACTATAATCTTAAACAGGTTCAAGTGTAGAGTTAACTGTTATCTTTCCCTTATATTCATATAAACTACCTCTTAACATTACCCACTACCTCGAGTGACCCCCGTGCTGAGGATCGTTATTGCAATATTTTGTTTCGTTAAGCCTAAATATCAAGCAATATCAGAGGGGAATTTCATGAACTTAAGAATTCTGATTCATAAGAAAATTCTTAGGCACGGAGGAGTAATGGATAGTGGCTCGGATTTAGGAATCGGAGAACCGAGTTCGAATTCCAGTCGAATCCATTACATTCACTTACATGCTAATACCCTTGGGAAAGGTATGAATACTCTTCTTCTCTCCCCAGCTATGGGTAAATAGCAGGGTCGAGGAGAATAACAGGATGGCAACTGGTCTACCGCAGAAAAAAATGGCAACCTACTGCGGAAAAAATCTGCCTCGTCAGTCATGTATCGAAAGATACATGATCGCCTAAGCGTGTATCACGCATGGCACATAACTGACTGAAGAAAATTCTAACAGGAGAATCATAAAATTTTTACTTGTAGAATTCATTTATTAAATCTTGCTAATAGAGATGGTCAGTGGAATTGATCAGCGTGATGTTGGTTACATAGAGGGGCAACTTTTGGGCCTTAACCCCAGGTATGTCCGCTAGCGCTCCTCGCGTTAAATCGACCTTGTGTCTCATACGGTCAACGTGAGGCAAATAAATAAATAATAATAGTATAAATCCTCCCACTAGCCCCAAATCGACCCTTTACGACCGGTTTCTACAATTGTATCTCTCAACATGCCTTTGTCTTCGGACAGAGCCAAAGAAAAATAGAAATGGGAGATACCTAAATCCCGGGGTTTCCTACCCTACAGCAGCACCTCCTTCAATTTACTAAAAAGGGAGAGTCGTTGGAATATTAACATCTGCGTGACGCTGGTTGCTGAGACGGGGTACTTTTGGGCCTTAACCCCAGGTATGCGCCTTTGGAGATGGGCAATTTGGAGAATTAGGCCCAGGTACACGTGGTGATGCTCCCCACATTAAACCCACCTTGTGTCACATTTTATCACCTTTGCGGACGGGAGCGGGGTAAATACTGGTAGAGTAAGATTTAATAAATGAATTCTACAAGTCAATCAGCTTGGTTAAAAAAAAAAAAGCAAGTATTTTTAAGAAATATAAATAAAGTGGAAAAATTCAAGATTTTAAAAAAAACTAATAAAAAAAAAAAACTCGGAAACTTACCTGATTAGTTTCGATTTGTTTTCGAAGATCTTACTTTGATGTTTTAGTGTCTCTCTCGGATATATCTCTTTTGTTTAAACTTTTTTTTTCTTCTTTGCTCTTTTTAAAAGTTTGAATTGTTCTTTCTTTTTCTATTTTTTTCTTTCTTTTTTTTTTTGGAGTGATGCGTAAGTTTTTTCGGTATAAGAACTATTTTTTCTGTCGGATTCGATCTGTTCTGCTTAGACTGACGGAACGACGATGACGCCTGCTTAACTTCAGTGAAATGACGGCGACCGCAGTACCTGTAATAATGGCAGTTAAGAAATAGTCGAACTAGTAGTTCCTATATAGTAGCAGTCCAATTGTTAGTGAATTTGATTGGCTATAATTATATGAAGAGGGAAAAGTAGCGGTCGCAAACGCCTGGCAACTTCACTTATTATTTTTTTCCCCTTAAGTGTTCGCTCGACGCGATTTCAGTTTTGGATCGGTTCTCTAGAAGTGCGTGAATTTGTATTTAAATACGAAGCTGGTTTAAAAAGAAAAACAAAAGATGACGCCTGCTAAACGCCTACACTAAAGTGCGGGGGAAAGAAGGCTGACTGAGCGGATAGGAGGAATTTCCTTGTCATTTTATTGGGTTCAGCTGATGGATGACAGTCGGATCGATACTTTTTTGAACGATTCGGTTGGCGGGAGAGTTATGAATGAAATTGGCCTTTACGTGTGTGCGAGAGAGAGAGAGACGAGAAGGCGGGGCTGATGAAACGAAGTTACGCTTTCGCTGGAGAAGTATCGAAGCGCTCCAATTTCTATATTTGCGTAAATATGACTGATAAATCAAGGTAGAATGTAGGCGTTTATTTTTGCAGGGCCAATTCTTTGTCGCAATTTTTACACGCTATAGCTTTCTGAAAAACAAACTTATATATAATAATTCTTTCATATATCTATATAATACGAAAACTGTAATCTTGTATGTTTGTTCTCAAGATAATAAATAATACCCCAACCAACTGAGAAGCATATTGTACCTTGAACCCCTGCAGACTATAGTGACAAATTTCATTAAAATTAGACAAGGGGTTCTTTAGCTAGAACCGTTTTTCTGTTTTTTACGGAATTTTTAATAGGACATTTTTTATTTGTTTTCAATACACATCCTTATATCAATCCGCGTATATAAACAAACACTTGCATATTATATTCCAAATATTATTGTATGTAAAAATAATAAACATGCATAATAAATTATAACAATATTATTAAATAAATTTAAATATACATAACACAAAATATAATTATACAATTCACTACACAACATTATAACTATTTGGCGAATAGGTAAAGGCGCTAAGTGGGCGTGTCCTTGTAAAATGTAATCTGTATGTCTGGGAAATTGCGACACATAACTTGATGGTAAATAAATAGATGCACGCTGGTTTGCCGCCGTTACGTATTTTGAAATAAATGTAAGGAAGAAACAAGTATGTATAACAAAATATATGTATTATTAATTTATTATTGAATTTGATCGATGTAATATCGTATAATGTGAATAACAATCATTATTACATTACTTGTATTAAAAATAAAAAATAAAAGTGGATCTGGCGCACAAGTCGACCCCAAGACCTTTAGCTCAAAAAAAGTTAGGCGTATACCTACCGTATAGGTCGATCCGCAAACATACGGTAGGCTAGCGGTGGGCCAAGACTTAGGCCTACCGGTAAATGGAGTTAGGTTACAGTGTAAGATAACCTTTGTTAAAACTGCATAAGGTTACCCCAATTACCTGTATATTGAGACACGAGCCGTAATATCTTTCGATATGCGTGGCATGGCAAGCAACCTACAAGCCACACCAGTAGGTACCGTATATCGGTATAGCTTAGAGAATATTTAAAATTTATCAGGTCTACTGATTAACACATTGCCACCAGCCTCTACCTATAGAATACTGAATTTGTGTTAGTATTTTATTATTTTATATTAATTTCTGTGTTAATATGACAAATATGTTCACCAAACACAAATTTTGAAGGATATATTTGTGGCAGCATGCTTGAAGTTATGATAAGTAATGTACATAATTATTAGGAGAGCTGTCTCACTTGTTTACAACTCGGTGTTAAATGATTACATTCTATTTCCGCAATAAAGGGGATCCCTAGTTTAGGTAAGTTATTTTAGGCTTGAAAACTCGACTTGTACGCCGAAATTTACGGTATGTTGTTGATTTATTTAAGATGGAATGATCTGTTATGACATGTCTCTAATTTGTATTTAGATACATTCTATTTATTTTCTATTTTTCTACTTGAAGTGTTCACCTATGTTTGTATACAATCCATTGTTGTACATAACTGAGTTACAATAAAATTTTGTATTTTATATGAATATGTTATACCGGAACATACCTATTCTATTGTTATAGACTCTCCCACATATAATAAGTAGTATTAGTAGCAGTCGCCAGTGAGCTCAGTGGAGTTGGTCTGAGTTCAGTCTGAAGTCGGACGACCGGCTGACCGGTTGCACTCTCCACCTTCGGGCGGGGAGGAACCCGAACGAGGCCCCGCCCTTCGGCGTAGCCTCCTTCGGGGAGGTAAGCCGACCCTGAACCCGTTTATACGGGTTTTAAAAGGGCATATTTTGGCCGAGCCCAGGGGCTCGGAGATCCCACGTTAAACCGGCCTTGTGCCACATGATGCCCTCGTGGGGGGGTGACTAAATACCACTCAGTGAGTTGGTGAGTCAGTCGATGTCGGACATTGAAGTATCAACCACCACAACTAGATTGCTGCGTCATTAACTCTTATATCAAGTTCCTAACGTTTTGTACGTCGAACCTTTTTAGGACCGACTTAGTGAAATACAAGCCTCCACTGTGAAACTACTCTACGACAGAATACAACCTTATGAAAATTGAGATGTAGTAGAGTGCAGTCCCGTATCATAGATTAGGGAGACGTCTCATCCGTTCGAGGCGCACAAAACACTTGCACTGGCCCTGCTGAACAATAAGTAGACTAGATATTCCAAGACATGGGCAGTGGGACGACAGTTAATGATTACAGTTAATTCTGCTTGTAGACTCTCTACCTTCGGGCGGAGAGGAACGCAAACGAGGCTATGCCGAAGAACATAGTCTCGTCTGAAAGGTAGACAGCTACCTGACCCCGTGTACACGGGGTCTACGGGCAATTTTTACCCGAGCCAACGGACTCAAAAAGCTCCTCGTTAAAAACCGGCCTTGTGCCACATCCCGCCATGTGGAGAGGTCTCGGGTAAATACCGATAACAGGAGTGGGTGGGTGGGTTTAATTCGATATTCTCTATAGGTTATCCGGATCGTATACACCTGAGGAAGGACAGATTTTTTTCCATTTTCTTTGTTACTCATATGTTCAGTTCAGGATATTCTCAGTATCCTTCTGTAGAACGTTTCTGTTGCTTTGTCTCTTCTTTATCTGTGAGGAAATTGTCCAAAACTTAGTGATATATAGGATGTTTTATATTACATAGGTTTTTTTTTTTGGTTTTTTTTACTAATATTCATCTAATACAAGGCACAAGAGCCACACAAGGTAGAGGGTTACGGTGTGGTGTCGTATGAGCATAAAAAAGGTGAGAAATGAAGTTTCTCTTCTCCATCTTTCTCTCCTTCAATATCCGGTTTTTCTTTAGTGTCCAAATTTTATTTTTTTAATATCCTTTCTTCCCCCCTCTTGTCATTTTTTTCCTTTCTATATCCAATTTCTCTCTCTCTATCTATCTATCTCTCCCTTTCTCTCTCTCTCTCTCTCTCTTTCTCTCTCTATTTTTCAGCTTCCTTTTTCGTTTCTTTGGCGTCGGACCATTTCGCTCTCTCTCTGTCTTTCTCTCTCTCCTTCTCCTCTCTCTCTTCCTCTCTTCCTCTCCCCTCTCTCTTTCTCTCTCTTTCTACCTGTCTCCCCCTCTCTCTTTCTTTCTCTCTCTTCCGAATTCTCCTACCATTTCCCTCCTTCAATATCCAGCTTTTCTTCAGTGTCCAATTATTTTTCTATTTTCGTTTTTCTCATCTTTCTGTTTATTTCCTTTAGTGTTTATCTCTCTCTCTCTCTCTCTCTCTCTTCTACCTTTTCTTTCCTTTCCTTTCCCTCTCTCTTTCTCTGCCTCTTCCCTCTCTTTCTTCTGACTTTTCGTCTGCCATTTCTCTCCTTTACTTCAGTGTCGCATATTTCTCTATCTTCCTTTTTTCCCAACTTCCTGTTTTCTTTCCTTCAACGTTCAGCTTTTCTCTCTCTATCTCTTCTGATTTTCAACTACTCTTTCTTTCACTTAATATATAGCCGCCCTTCTCTCTCTAGCTATCTTCCTACTTCTCAGCCTCTTCCTTTTCTTCAACAGCCATTTTTTTTTCTCTCTCTCAACTTCCAGTTTCTGTTTTTCTTTCAATGCCTACTTTACTCTTACTTATTCCCCCTTTATCTATCTCTTTCTCTTATTCTTCTTATCTTTCTGTCCCCCTCATTTATTCTGCCTGTCTACTTCTACCTTATTTGGTATTTTATCAGTTTTGACATGCGCAAAAGCGTTTCGAATAATGTCGGAAATAAGCACCTATCCTAAGCTTCGAGTCGACTCTTTGGATCTATATGACGGAATTACCTATTTGATTAATCATTTAGAATTAGAATCTTCGCAATAAGCTTTGGAAATACAAAGAACGCTTACAGCCAAAAGGAAATGATAATAGTTGAGATATTAAATAATTGAAATCGAAAAAGAAAACTATTAATCCAAACAGAAAAATAATCTGAATTTCCGTCAGCGAGTAATAATGTCTAATAAGAACATATTTTTAATATAAGGTGAGATTGAGAATGTTTATGAACGCTAAATATTCTTCCCTTGCGGATAGATTTTTTTTACTCCTGTGGCAGTGGAGACATCTGGGGTTATTGGCGCTCGTTCGATGGAGTTCCTTCGGAGGATTGGCGCGATTGCGTCTCGATTAAGGGACGAGCCTCGCGAAACGGAATGGCTCTTGAAGCGTGTCTCACTGGCGATGGTTCGAGGTAATGCTGTCTCCATCATGGCGGCTGGCAGAGTTAGAAAAAAATTGTTTATTGTTACGTTGTTCTGGAATTGTCATCAGTGGTCAACTGTATTTGTTTTGTTTCAATAATTTTTTTTTATTTAAAAAAAGAAAAAAATTGAAGGGATTTGAATTCAGATGATGTGGCAAGGGAAGAAGTTCTACAAATGACAAGACAGACATAATCACATCATAATACACAAACACGTAAATATATTTAGTTATGATGAAGCTCCACAATTAAAAAAGTAACACTTTCTAATTTATCTATTATAAATTTGCGTAAGACTGTCCCTGAACGCCACTTTACAACTAGGAATGTCTCAGGTTTTACTGGTACCACGGGCAAGCTGAACTTCAGCGCCCTTAAATTTTTTACTGACTCGCAGCAGGGCGTGTTCCCTATCACTACAAGCTTGACCTCATTAAGACTAGGGTTAACTGATATCTTTCCTGTGTAAACACATGAACTTCATTTCTTGCCTTTTCTTATGCACATATAAAGCCACATAGTAACACTATACCCAATATAGATCCTAAGGTTGCCGACACCCCGAGCAACGAGCAAGCTGAACTTCGGTACCTTTAAAGGCATAATTTTTTTTTAATTTTCACAATAATAACAATAATAAGGGTCTTCCAGCAGACACCCTCTTGAGAAAGGGCAATCCTAACTCTTTGGTGTGGGCCACTGTGTTGAGTTTGAGGTCATGTGGGAAGATGAATGGAGGCATAAGTTCGCTATCACTAGTGATCACTCTAAACATCATGATGGATATGTTATGCAAAACTTTCTGAATCCTCTACACTGTCCTCAGATTGGCAAACAAACATTATGAAATGTTCGTATTGGAGCTTCCGGTACGAATGCCAAGCAGTACAGCATGTCGTGTCTAAACGTCCAGTGGAGTGAATTGCGTCATGGGGCTCTTTTTCTCACAAACAGTACCCAACGGACCCTACCATGTGTGCAGTCGACAAAATCTTCAGGCGAAATTAAAAATATAAAATGGCGACAATTTACCCATCGCACTCTGTATCTTATCTTGCTTATTATAAAACGCAGATTGTGTGTGCGTGTGTGTGTGTCTGTACGTTTATATATTGGATCAGATTTCCTACATTTTTCAACCGATTTCAACAAAACTGCACAGGACTACGTAAAATTAACTTGTGGTGGTTCTGACAGCACCAAAAATTGGAAAAACACAATTGTTTTTGCACGAAATCAATTTGAAAACACAATAAAGTCGCCAGAATGAAAGGGGGACAACTCATATCGAGTTATACTTATCATAAAACCCAGGTTGTTTGTGTGTTCCTTTATATATAGGATCGGATTTCCTACATTTTTCAACCGATTTCAACAAAACTTCACATTTTTTTGGCAGGTAGTGTTTCTTATTGTCTTGCACATTTTTCCCTTTATTTTTACATTCAGAATGCTTTAAAAATTCCATTTACAAGACAATTGTTTATAATAAAATTCTATTCAATCGGTACACTCATAACGATTGAAAACAATGTTTTTTGTTTGAGTTTGGGTTTGACCAAAAAAAAAAAAAAAAAAACTAATTAAGACATGCGTGTCCGTCAACCTTAAACAATAATCTTTGTCAATTTTATTTTTCAGTCTTTATGATGGTCGATACTTGATCTATCTCTTACTGTTACATCCCCGGGCAACGCCGGGCTCTACTGCTAGTTACTAATAAATTGTGTTTACAAGATGAGTGGGAAACATAATAATTTTTAATGGCATATATTAATAATATCGGCGGACATATTTTCTTGATTAAAATTTCACGAATACGCAGGCCTATAGACGTAATACACACTGTTTGAAGTAATAAAAATATCAGATTATATATATATATATATATATATATATATATATATATATATAGGTAAATATAGATAACTATACTCAGAGTCTGTCTATATTTCTGAGATGAGGTATTATTTACTGAGATGAGATTTATTTCTGAGATGAGGTATTATCCACTGTGCCATGTATTCTCAAGGACACGTGGCACAGCAGATAAAGGCGTTGGTTAGATCCAGTGACAGGACCCAAAGAGTGCGAGTTCAATACCCGGTTAAGGCAGTGGAGAACTTTCAGAGGGAAATTAGCAGGAGATAACTGATAACTGACATCCATCAAACATGGCACGTGGAACGAGAACAGTCTACCCCAGTGAGCGAAATAAAGGGTTCAGTTCGAAATTCCAACCACCTGAAGAAGGCCGGAGCGTACAACGGCCGAAACGTTGTGATAAATATGGCGACAAATATTCCGAGTAGTCCGAATAATGTAAATAATGTAACTATACTCGTCTCGAAAAACCTTCGAATTTTTGATTTGACAATGATCAAATCAATCTCGAGGAAAAAAAGGTTTTAAAAAAAGAAAGAGCCAGGAACATGAAAGTCTGTCGAAAAAATCGCACAGATACAGGTTTAAAGCCCAAAGAAAAAAACCCCGACACGAGTAAACAACTAACTAAATAAAGAGCTCAATACAACCGTAGAGCAGACTGAGTAGATTTGTCTGGCTCACTAGGTCTGACTATATATGCAAATATGTAGAAAAATAGGAAAGAACAGGTTAGGTAAATAATCCAGAGTTCTTTAGTATTTTTGTTTTTATTTTAAAAAAACAAAAACACACACACACTGCTCCATACAGAAGTAGAGCTTAAATTATAATTATTTAAAAAAAAATATGATTCCTTCGCTACATAAGAGTCCTCATGTTTCAAAAACAAGAGCCGAAAACTTCAATATAAATATTAAAATTAAATTGAGTTAAAGTATCAAGCACTCAAGCGAATTCCTAAATTTTCGCTTGAGGATGAAACAGGGTTTGATACTTTAATTCAATTTAATTCAGGTAGCGTATATCAATAAAGAACAATATAAAGACGAAAGGAAATCTTTGCCGACACGTTTCGTCCTCTGAGGGACTTTGTCACGGTAAAAGCAAGGATTTTATTTTGTAGCGTGTATTTATATACAAAAGCAAAAGTGTTATTGGCTTTCAAAATTATTTAGTTCAGGAACGCTAACCTGATGAATATTTATGAAGGTTCCTCAACTTAGACATTTTTAAAAATCAATAATACGTTTAGTCTTTTATATTAAATGTATGTACTTGATAAAGTCCCTCGGTGGAAGAAACGCGTCGGTTAAGATAAATTTTACATTTGTCTATATTCATATATATATATATATATATATATATATTAAAGACATTTTTATGTTTAACATTCTTTTTATAGATGGTATTTATCAATCCACCCACGGGGATCGAATGTGGCACAAGGCCTTTTTAATGTGGGTATCTCTGAGCCCGTAGGCCCAGCCAAAAATAAATAACCATCCAAACCCGCCGAGACGGGCCAGTTCCGTCCACCTCCCCCAACGAAACCCTACCCTTCGGCGGAGCTTCGTCCGGGTTCCTCTCTGCAAGCAGAGAGTTCGACAGACATCCGACCCGGCAGCTCACAGAGCGCAGATATTACACTTTGATCCTAGCCACCGGGCCGAGCGGGTATTCTTTTTATAGATGGTATTTATCAATCCACCCACGGGGATCGAATGTATACAAGTATTTAAGTAAATCCTTTGTTTATAATAAACAGTATTAAACAACATTTACAGGCCTGAAAAAAACATAAAAATGTCTTTAATAAATTGTCGGACTTTGTCCATTTCTAATATATATATATTTATTAAATATATATATATATATATATATATATATATATATAATCGACTCTCCCGTCGAATTCGATGTATGAGGGTGAAGCAGATCAGTTAGTAGGAAACTGAGAGCCTGACACCATCTCCTGAGATTTGATTATAGTAGTGAAGGTTTCGTGCAGGACCATCCACACTTTTTGAAGGGCCGAATACAGAGACCTGGTGCACTACGTGCCACTAGGTCCCCAAACAACCCCCCGCAGGTTTTGAATTCAGAGTTGTCCTTCTCCTAGACTAGTTGCCATCCAAGGCTATAGAACCCAGTCTGTCCTGCTATAGAGGGAGAAGAAGAGTATTCACACCTTTCCCAAGGGTATTAGGACGTAAGTGAATGTAATGGATTCGACTGGAATTCGAGCTGATTCCTCAATCCAAGCCGCTATCCATTACTCCAAAGTGCTTCCTCGTAATAAATAAATAAATATATATATATATATATATATATATATATATATATATATAATGATCATATATAGGATGAAGATATATAAATTCTTATATATCATGAACAATTTTAGGTTTTGTGCGACGCGTTTCGTTCTTGAGGACGTCATGTTTATAATGATGCTACTACACGTGCGAACGTATGAGAGACACTGGGTATCTTAAATGTAAAAATATATATTTTTTATTACTATGTGCTTTTGGTATATAATCCAGCCGACTTCATTTCCGCGTCAATATAAACATAAACTTAGTCTGATGAATTCCTAAAGGTCGAAACGCGTCGCATGAAAAACTTTTTCCACATTGCCATACACTTTTC